ATAGCCTCTTATTGATGTTGATCGATTAATTGATCTATCTAATTAGTGACATGATCATGTAGGCGACTTCACCACCTACTAATAAAATTGTACTCGAATAAAAGCAACCCCTTCACTTTGGCTCGAAAAAATTCTCATTTTTTTTGCAACATTTTGGTTGCTTCTATTCGGTAACATACGGTATTTGGTTTAAATACCGTTAATAAACTATATAAAAAAAAATTATTTTCGTTATTTTTAATTAGCGTATTTCTCCGAAAGTAAACAACCCTTTTTTGCAGGCTAAAGTTGGCGTAGTGTAGGTCATCAGACGCTTATTTTCGGAGGAATACGGTACTTTATTATATTTAGGAATTTCTTATACTAGACATTTTTTATACCGAGTCAGTTATATTCAATAAATTTTTCAATAAATAATAGATTGGTAGCCCTTGGAGGGAGTGAATATCTCATAACAATAGTGATTTTATAACATGACCGAAAACAATGAACAAAGAGTCATTCTTAATGTTGTTGGTGTGAAGGTAGAAGGAAATTTATACGCATTTTTAAATGGTTTGTTCAATATTAACAAATCAATCAATCTAGTACGAAACCTATCGTTCGACACTGACAAAATATCCCGAGACTTTACTTGGAGTAATGTTCAGTTCACGAAATGAAGAATTATTACATCCAACTAACGAAAATGAATACTTTTTTGATCGTAATGGGGATGCATTTCGTTATATAATGTCATTTTACCGAACTGGTAAAATTCAGTAAGAACCTAATTTTTTTTTTTTAGTGTTGCAGAATAAAAACCTGTAACTGTACTTAATTATTTACTATGACCAGTTACGGGTTTTCACTTATATCAATCCGCATTTTAAACTAATTTTTCTTACAAGTTATGAAGCAAACATTACGGTTAACGAGTCAGAGTTAGAGGAAGAGCTTGATTATTTTCAAATTCCATCAAATATAAACTATATCGATTATGATCTGGCTCAGAAGAAGGCCGCAAAGTTTTTGAACCAATTTATCAATTTGATCGAATCTGTAATTTTTGAAAATCTCTGCATTTTGGAACGATACATAAGAATCGGGTTTTATAAAAATGATTGGAATCGAAACAGATTTTGTACGAATTTTGAACTTTTGAATGATTCAACTAAAAAAGAACTCGCTCGATTTGAGAATT